TAACTCTGAAGTAGAGAATTGAATTTAAGGACGCCATTGCATAGCTGGTGATGGCTATACTCTTGGGTGGGTCGCGCTTCTGAGTAATCTCAGTGAGTTCTGGCTCGTGTGCCCATGGCATTCACATTATTTAGGTTTCACTATCACAAAAACCAAACGTATTTTGGGCTGAATTCCTATATACCTAATATGAGCCTATATTGTAACAACAGTTGCAGCACAACTAACTTGGCAAAATGGAAATGTAATCATACAAAGCAAAAACGTCGAAACATGTTTATATTAACACTGAATATTAATGACAAGTTCAGGTGGGTTCTAAAGGTACCCATTCACTTACAGTTTGCCCGCAGTTCTAGGACTGTACGATCTGAACTGAAGATTGGAACTTTCTCAGGCCACACACCATTCAGTTTTCTGAAACGATGCGACCTGAGTTTTAAGACTGTCAGTTTTTGAACTGAAGGAAAACTGAGCTTTCGCCACACATACAAACATTTTGTCAGTGCTAATCGAACAGTCTCGCTGTAGTAAAAAATGTTTCGTACTAATAGAAAGAAACAACTAGCCGCACTTCTTGTGCTATTATTATTGCAAGAGCCGATAACAAAGGCAAAAAAACGTTTTTGGGTAAAAGATTCGCTGTTACAACGTGATACCTTATCTCATATGAGAATGGTGCGAAAATTAAGAACTAAGTGCAACAGACGACCTTAAAAATTACCTTAGAATGGATGACGCATGTTTTAAAGAACTCTTAAGCTTGGTTAAGCCGTTAATATCAAAGAAAAATACTAAAATGAGAAATGCTTTGTTCTTTTTGTGCCTATTTGAGTAGGACTTGCTCTTTACTTTCCAAAGACAAGGCAATTGCCTATAAATATCAATAAATTCGGTTAAAAACTCTGTATTATTTGCTTGACTCGGCCATTTCACAAAATCGGAATCATGAAAACTTCCAACTAGTTTGAAGATGGGATCGTACGATATCAAATGACGATTTTTCTCCATAAGGTACCCATTCACTTACAGTTAGCCTGCAGTCCAGAACTGCCGATTTCCATATCGTCAGTTAAAATTTCTCCATACACGTTCAGGCCGTCGACAGATCTGAGCCTGCAGTTCACTTGAATCTAACGACGGACTAGAGTGTATGGAGAAAAATCGTCAGTTGATATCGTACGATCCCATCTTCAAACTAGTTGGAAGTTTTCATGATTCCGATTTTGTGAAATGGCCGAGTCAAGCAATAATACAGAGTTTTTAACCGAATTTATTGATATTTATAGGCCTTGTCTTTGGAAAGTAAAGAGCAAGTCCTACTCAAATAGGCACGAAAAGAACAAAGCATACGAAAAAAAAGGGCTTGGGGAGAAATTATTGCCGAAAATTTCAAATCTTCCAAACTTCGCCCCGTTGCCAGATATCGGAGCGTCACTATTAAACGTTCTTCGGCTGTAATTGCTTTTCTCATTCTAGTATTTTTCTTTGATATTAACGGCTTAACCAAGCTTAAGAGTTCTTTAAAACATGCGTCATCCATTCTAAGGTAATTTTTAAGGTCTTCTGTTGCACTCTCGGTTGCACTAGTTCTTAATTTTCGCACCAGTCTCATATGAGATAAAGTATCACGTTGTAACAGCCAATCTTTTACCCAAAAACGTTTTTTTGCGTCTGCAATAATAATAGCACAAGAAGTGCGGCTAGTTGTTTCTTTCTATTAGTACGAAACATTTTCCACTACAGCGAGACTGTTCGATTAGCACTGACAAAATGTTTGTATGTGTGGCGAAAGCTCAGTTTTCCTTCAATTCAAAAACTGACAGTCTTTAAACTGAGGTCGCATCGTTTCAGAAAACTGAATGGTGTGTGGCCTGAGAAAGTTCAAATCTTCAGTTCAGATCGTACAGTCCTAGAACTGCGGGCAAACTGTAAGTGAATGGGTACCTATACACTCTAGTCCGTCGTTAGATTCCAGTGAAATGCAGGCTCAGACCTGTCGATGGCCTGAACGTGTATGGAGAAATTTTAGCTGACGATATGCAAATCGGCAGTTGTGGACTGCAGGCTAACTGTAAGTGAATGGGTACCTTAACAGACATTTAATTTAATTTAGCATTTAATATTATTTAATTTAAAAAGTTTACAAAACAATACCATATGACGGCGTTCATACAAAATTTTAAATTAAGACATAATATAACTTAATTTAAAAGTTGGCCAACTTTTATCTTTCAAAATTAAATTAAATTAAATTTGAGGTTGATCATTGATTTTCATCAATTTGACAAGGCAGATGGCGGATAATGACATTTTTCTATATCAGTTAAAAAATTACTGTATGAACGCCACAAAGTAAAATTATATTAAATCTTAAATTATGTTAATATAAAATTAAATTAAATTTCTGTTAGAACCCAGCTTGATACCAAATTACAGTAAGGGAAGTTTAAGTTTTTCCTTTGTAACAATATAATTATTTATTATATTATTATACAAGTTAATATTGATATTGATTTAGATAGTAGTCACCTGGCTACTACACGATAATGCTGGTGAGGTAATATGAATGCTTATGAATATATGAAACAAACTTGTAAAAATGCATTGTTATAATTATTCACATATACCCTACTATCACTCCAGATAGTAAATAGATGCTCAACAACAAACTTTATTTTATTGCATACGTTAATTATAAAGTTCGTCGAGCGCGCTTGCCTGGCTGGCTGTACAAGTGCCCGTCGCTTCGTGACATTTCAAACGCGAGACGGACGGGACGTATTTTTATTATTTTCCATGGCGAAAGCGGGACCGTATGCGAACGACATCAAAGTTTGGACTCAAAATACGACTGGTTCAGCGAATTAGGTTTTTGTTCGAGTAATTGAAATCGTTTCTGCATCAAGTCGCATGCAAATGCTTTGCGTTTGTTTTTGACCGTAACGGCGAGGACAAATTTACATACATATTCAGTAGACTTGAAATTTCATGACAACTGAAATATGAAGAAGATAATCCATGCAAGAGAGTCGGAATTTCATATTCATATTCTAGTATTAGTATATTGTTCACCGGATAAAATAATTGAAAAAAAAAGTTTTCATCTCAAGATTTTTGGACCCATTATTTTTGAAGCTAGATTTCTGAAAGCTCATTTTAATTGGTTTGTAGAGATTTTCTTTTCAAGAGATTCTAATAGGTAGGTACTTCTGAATGAAGGGTAAAAGAACTCGTGGCGCTCGTTCCCTTTTCGATTTCATGGAACTCGCAGTTGTAGTTCAAGCTTTCCATCTTACTCACCGTTTTAGTTTGGACAAGCCCAATCCGTACAAGCCAGAATAATATTAAAATAGTGATGACTGATGAAAACCCAAACTTACTGTCGTCAGCATACTGTTTGATATGCCAAAGTAGGATACCGAAAGTCATCTGAAGTCGCCCTAAATTGGTTACAAATCTTTGGTATCAATCAAAAGAATTTTTGATTATTATTAACTAAATGTGTTTCTCTTGTTTCAGGTAGGTGTATGAATCCAAGAGCTCGGCTTGAAGAAATTGATAATATGGCAAGTGAGTTAAAAACTATAGCAATGTGAAAAGTATTGGACACTATTTTGCAAAAAGCAAAATTCTAGGTAATTTACAAATTTCATGGAAGACTGGCATAATAATTGATGAAACCTCTACCAAAATTGAAAATTTACGATCTTGTATGAAAGAAACAATGTTTACTTATAAGAGTTATTTTACAATGTTCTCTTACATAGATCCAGAAAACCAAATCCAAGCGTTTGTGCGCTCAATCTCCTAAAGCATTGCAAGTTTATCAGGGTTCCTATTTCTAAAAAAGTCACAATCATAGATAACGCAGATGTAAGGTAAAATAATAATGTCGGTCTTTGACAACAAAAACTGGATACCAATTGATAACCTAATTCTCATGTGCCTACACTTCAGATGCTGGCAGATGGCTTCATTTCATTCCGTCTGAATACGAGGACGTGGTTCAATTCAAATCCGGTTTGGAATTCGATTTAAATAATTTATCGCGTGTCAAAATATTCCATAAAAATGTAGATGCAGCAGCGGCAATTTAAATTATGTATCCTGAGTCCGGAATTTTAGAACGGTAACCTGCAAAACGCGTTTGTTCAAACAGGCATGCGTATTGTTGGAAATCGTTATATTGGAAAATACATTTGAATTTTTTTTTTATGTAAAAACATGCCTACAAAAATACTATAAGAAACGGAAACACAAAACTTAGGTGCTCACGTGTGATAACTAATGTAATGTCTCCGTCCGACTACTCTCCTTTGCGTAAATACTATCTATCTATCGATCTACTAGATAGATAGATTTTTATTTTATAAATATGTCGAGTATATCCACATAAAATAGCGGTGCTACTCTGAAGGCATATTTCACATTTTGAAAAAAAAAAAAAAAAAACGTGCTTGCGTGCCAAAACGGCCAGCTCAAAAACCCTGGAATCATATGAAATTCAAAACAGTAATGAATATTCGCAACTAACATTTGTCGGAGAAAGCATGCTTCTGTTATTTAAATTACGATAGCATATGTAGCTATGCACTAACAACCTTTGAAAGTATGAATGCGTATGCAAATGTGCACATGCTAGTTGTAATTAATGAACTTAATTGTTCACATTTTCAGCTCATCAATTATTATTATTCAAACTTCATATTTCTTAGAGATTAAGAAAAGGAAGACCAACATCAAGCCACTAAAATTTTAGGTTTTGAGGATATTTATGTCCTTGAAAAGCATATCGGGGAACCTACACCTTATCATAGACACTTACTCGCTTACGAATATTATTAGTCTCTTGATGTCATTATTATTTGTGGGTTCTTATGTCTAGATAAATCTCTTTCGGGCCCACAAATGGTCAGCGATAACCGTTTGTTTTTGTGAACCAGCTCAGGCGTTCTCGTTCTTTTCCACGATCCTGTTATTGTTGTTTTTTTTTTGTTCCAGATACTGCGGAATTGAATGGATACTTCGTTCCCCTGCCTAGGGCCTCAAGCCTATCAGGCGCCTGATTCTCGAAACGAGGGAGCAGGATTCCTATGGGGAGAACAAGTGTCCTGTCCTTATCAGCTCCTTACAAAATCTCATACGAGTGACAAGAATAATAACTTTGTTCTCATGAGAACGCTGCTCCCATGTTTCGAGAATCAGGTACCCGCTGTAGCTTGTGGATGGTCCAGGTTTCACATCCTTAGAGAAGTGTCGGTATGACGATGGAATTGGAGACCGAGAGCTCAGTTTGGGCACTTTTGTCGTGGTTGTCAAATATCCTTTCCAAGAGACATCCAAATGCTGTGCTGGTGCATTTCAGTCGGTGTTTCATTTTCTCGTCATTTGCATTTGTTGAAAGATTACGACCGAGGTATGGTTAGTACCTTTCTATGTGTTCTAGAGGTGCTTTATTGCTAATTTTAGCTGTACCTGATGCATTAGTGGTTTATTGTATTTTATACATTTTTAGAAGAGGGCCGCTTGTTCCATAGACGGACGAGAGCCTGCTGGCTCTTTCGAGAGGTAAAACTTCAACTTATATTCCAGTCGTTTATTGGAAATCTTTGCATGAAAAATTGTGTATACGACTTAAGAAGAGCGGTTTGTAAATTAAAATATCTAAATATAAGCGAAATTGTTAAAATAAATATGGGTCAGAATAAAAGCTTCCCGAAAAATTTAAAAAGCTCCACACCATAAATCATATTTAAAATTGCATTTTGATAAATTGCAATAAGATTATGCAGGTACTAGTTTTCATTGCCGTTGCGGTACATTCGAGCGACAAGAAATCATTTCTGAAATTTAAATGAACAAAAACGATCAAAATGGCAATACAAAAATTTAAAAAGTTATTCATCAAAACACCAATTTAATTAAGAAATATTATAAATTCACATATTTCGCATAATAACTTATGATGATGGATTCAAAATTTATTTAAACGAGGCCTTTGTGCAATTAGCTTAATGTGTGAACTAATTCTGTTTACTGCAAAGAATCTACACGAGTAAGTGCTTCAGTAATTTCACATTAATGGAACTAATTGTTTATAATTAATTATTATTTGTTTTACGATCCTTTGCTAAATTTGACTTTCTGACTAATAGGTATGTAGGTACATAAATTTTGAAGGATTTTAATGACAAGATATAATTGATGTAAACATTTCACAACCAGTTATAGATTCAAATTATTATGCATTCAATGTCAATACAATTTCTAATTACATCTGAAATTATTTATTATTATGCAACTAATAAAATTTGAATGCTTGCGTAAAATACATAAATTATTTTAAATTAATTCTATAATTAATTAAATAGATGCAAATTAAATTCACAGATGTACCTATATAATTTATAGATCTATAACCCAGTATTTTATTCTGTGGTATAAGACGTATACTGGTTGTAGGCTTAATTTTATGTTAGAAATTATGTCTAGACTCTGAAATTTAATATAATTACCGTGCATAAACTAGTCCTTCAATTTTTCACTTTCCCTTCTTGCTTTCTAACAGTAAGGGGTAAACTCTTCCAGTAATCGTTTTTGTGACATCTTACTAGTACTGTTATTTAACGAATATATAATACATGGTGAGATTCGCAAAATCGTTCACTTCCGTTTGTGCTCGAGCTGTTTGTTGTTATTGGTATACCAAAAGCTCCGTGATAAATAAATACCAAGTTAGCAATAAAAGAGAACAGAATAGCAGCCTTTTTCAACAACCTGACAAAGTTTTCTATAAAAAACTTATTTCAACTTGTGATGTAGGAGCTACCCAACTGAAGAGGCGGTAGAAGTTTCTGGGGTGGCCAGCGAACGACACTTTTTTGTACCTCAGATTAAGGTTGCACTGCCCCAATTTAACAGCACCTATATGTACACGACTGCACAATATTTGTATATTTTCATTTTCATTTCCGGGAAGAATCGTCTACGTTTGACGATATTCACTCAGTATAATCCCTGTATTAGAATTCTGCTTTTTTTGTCAAAGAAATATTGTGTTATTTTATTCATGCTTTTCATTATCTACTAAAATTTTCATTTGGAATGTTAGTATTCCTGAAACTGTTTGAAAAAAGGTAAAACCTACAAAAAAAAAAAAATAATTTGAGTTTTAGAACAAAAATTTCCGAGAAATCAGGAACTAACTTCCAACAAAAACAATATAGTTTATGCTAGTTTTTATTCTTGTTATTTGGAAAGTCGTGACAAAGATGACATTCAGAAATGCCACGTGCAATATCTAACGAGCTTGGGCATGGAAATTCGAGCTATTATCTTAGAAACGGAACAGCCCTAAGTTAGTCAGTTTGGCTAGTGAAATGACTGAATTGCGTTTCTTTACTTTTTTTTCTTAATTAAGACCGAACTCAAAGATTTTTTTTCCTCATCATCCAATTAAAATAGGGCTTTTATGGGATTGAAATTAAAATTTTCTTAAGCAGTTGCTTTTTTGTATTATTTACAGTCAATAACTTAAAACAATCTCGCCCACTTTATTCTAGCCCAGTTTTTATTTGGGGTAAATTAAAATTTTCCAAGCCGGAACTTTTAATTAAAACCTCCTCCGAGTTATTTAGAAAACAAGTATAAAACTTCGTTTTATTTTCAATTACTTGCTTCTGAGCAAAGAATTAGTGTGCCAGTTATATTAACCAATTGTCATGCTGATTTATAATCAATTATCTATTTTTTATATGCTTTAATGTGCTTACCCCTTTCCTCTAGGACTTTTTAAATACATTGTTGTAAAGTAAACATCAAATTGCTATGTCGGCATTAAATGTTTATTTAAGCCGATGCCGTCCCATAAGGAACGTTCATTTGTTTTCTGGCTTTAGCCTGTAGCAATTTGATCCGAATATTTTCTTTTGTCACCTCTGTATTTTAATCAATAAAATAAATGTTTTTTAAAATACAAGTTTCTGAATCGAAAATATAATTGGCGCAGTCGTTCGGATGCTCAGAGTGCTTAAGTTTCGGGAGTTGTAACAGTCGTAATCCGTCGCGAAAATTTCAAAAGACTGAAGAAAGTTCGAAAAAGTGAATTCTTCGGAAAAGTGAAATTTGGATTATCAGTGCTGCTATTAAACGTTCCAGATACTGTCCACTTCGAATTGGTTAACTGAGTAAAAGGAATAACAAGAAACAACGTGTGAAGAAAGACTACTGTTATTAGCTTTGCCTAGTAAGTACAACCTTTCTCTTTATACATTTTGTAATTGGTGTTCCATAGTTAAGATTTTTGGATTTTTGATCTTTTGTAATTTCTAATTTTTGATTTACTGAGAAGACTTAAATTCAGATTTTTGTTCTTTTGCAATTCCAAAACGGTTTGCTGAAAAGACTGAAATCAAAAAATAAAGAGTAACAAAGAATTTACAAACCCACAACAACTTTTAATTTTTAAGAAAAAGCAACGCATAAGACTGAATAATTAATTATAATTTTAATTTTAAAACAAAAATAAAAACTTTTTAATTTTGAATTTTTCTAAATTTTCAAAATAATTTCTTTTAAAAATTCAAAGAAATATATATGTCAGATTCTGAAGAAGAAATCGAGAATCTTTTGACTCAATTTAATTTAACTCATCTATACAATTCTAATTCAAGAAGTAACAACCAAAATCAAAGATCAACCGTAACAATGAGTGAAAATTTAAAATCAATTGTACAACTAATCAAACCTTTCAGTGGCGAAAGCCAATATTTAGAATATTTCATAAGAAACATCAATGAATTTTATCAAACCTATTATACTGGTGAAATGCTCAAAAAGAGTATGTGGTTACCGCCATAAAATCAAAATTAATAAATGACGCAGGAAATTTTCTTATGGCACGTCCTGATTTACAAACATGGACCGATATAAGAGAAGCGTTGAGAATTAAATATGGTGATCAATATTCTAGACAGAATTTGGTACAAGAGCTTATGTAGACCACAAAAACTAATAAAGAAACTATTATTGAGTATTTGGATAAACAAAAAGGTTTAGTGCAAAGAATTACATTTAAAATCATGTGCGACCCGAATTTAACGGTAGTTGCAAATGTCTTAATTGAACAAAACGAAATTATTGCTATTCAAAATCTAGTCACTAATTCGCCAACCGAATTAAGAACAATTTTAATGGTTCAAAATCCACAAACGTTGGATGCAGCTAACAAATTTGTGTTAAATTATCAACTAGCTGAAAACCACATGAAATTTAGTAGAGGACTTACTCATTCTACTAATCAGAATCAAAATCAAAATTTTTCAAATTTCAAAAATAAAAATACGCAATTTCGTTCACAACAATCACAACAAACCAATACTCAACAAAAACCTCAATATACACAAAAAACATCGTTTATACCACAGAAACCACAGTTTCCATCCCAAGCAATTAATATACAACCTAAAAAGGACTATGTACCAACAAAATTTCCTACTAGTTCAGGAACTTTTGGCAAAAACTACAATAATGCCTTTCGAAAAAACACTAATCAACAATTTTCGAAACCCACACCTATGTCCGGTGTTTCAGTGCAACCAAAAGCACAAAATCAACATCAATACCCTTCTAAATATACAATCGAGGAAATTAATAACATCTTTGAAATCGAATTACCTGACCCTGATGAAAATTTCGAAAATGACGAATGTTCTGAAAATCAAAACTATTATGAAGAGACAAATTTTGAAGAAAATCAAGTCGCAACTGAAGACGAAAATTTTCAGTTACAAGCCTTGGATGCAATGAGTCAGCATTAACTTTAAATGCTTATCAAATCAACCAACTGCCTTTTATTCAAATAGACTATCCACCGTGTAAATTATTAATTGACACAGGAAGTCATGCCTCTTTAATAAGACCCTCAATAGCAGAAGAATATTTTTCAAATTCTATAATTAATTCACGAAATAAATTAACCACTTGCATGGGTACAAGAAAAACGTATGGAAAAATCAATATCCCAATTTTACAAGAATATAATATTCAAAACAACATTGAAATGATAATGTATAATTTCCATGACTATTTTGATGGAATTATTGGAATCAAAGCATTACAAGATAATAATTTAAATATAGATTTTTCTAATATGCTTCTTTCTAATAATAAAACAACAATTCCGTTTCAATATAGAACAGATTTCGAAAATCAAAATTTTGAGATTCCAAGCAACTCAATTCAAGTATGTTATTTCAATACAAATATAGCTGATGGCATTGAAATACTTACACCACCGATAAAAAATTAAACGTATTACATTCCTTCGACAATATCTACAGTGATAAACGAATCAGTAGCTCTAGAAGTGCATAATTTAATGAATAAGCCTATTATTGTCCCATATAACATAAACAACTTAGCGGAAATAAGTTTACCGTACGCTGACGAACAGTTTGAGATATTTAATATAGAGCAAATGACTTTATTAGAAAATGCTGAATATGCAAATGACCCCATTAAGTCGTTGCGTATTAATCATTTAAACTCAGAGGAATTTGATGCTTTGAAACACGTAATTAAATCATTTCCTAAAATTTTCCACAAGCCAAATGAAAAATTGACATTTACCAATCAAGTCAAACATGAGATTAAAACAACGGATGAAATACCAGTGCACACGAAAACGTATAGATACCCACATGTGCATAAACAAGAAGTAAATTCTCAAATAAAGAAAATGTTAGAAGATAACATAATCAGACCATCCTGTAGCCCTTGGTCATCCCCTGTGTGGATAGTACCTAAGAAAGAAGATGCCGCAGGCATACAAAAATGGAGAATGGTCGTTGATTATCGAAAGATAAACGAAAAAACTATTGATGATAGATATCCATTACCTAATATTACGGATATATTAGACCGACTTGGTCGTAGTAATTATTTTACGACACTAGATCTAGCCTCTGGCTTTCATCAAGTCGAGATGCATGAAAATTCGATACCCAAAACAGCATTTAATGTTGAAAATGGTCATTACGAATTTAACAGAAT